AAGACGTTCCGTGAAAAGGGGAGCATTGTAGCATCTGCGCGATACGTGTTTTCGCGTCTCGGCCCGTTCTACTGGAGTCATGGTCAGACGCGGCTTCTGCCTTTCATTCCCCGAATATACATATTTAGTCGTTTTATGCTTCGATTATTCCGCCGGACACACGGCCAGACGAGCGTCTGCGTTCTCCTCGTCCGGTTCCCGTATCCGAGCGTACGATCCTGATGGTATCGGAATGAATCTCGCGCGCGTTATTTAAAATCATAACGCGCACAACGCACGAGCTCCGTAGCCCGAGCAACGGCGGAGCGTCGATGGTTTCAATCGAACAAAGCCGACGAGTGAACTCGTCACCCCCGGTTAGCGGGTTAACGAGACCGTTCTAAACCGAGTAGAGAATCGCGGCTCGCGTTTCGTCGTTCGCCAAGAGTTTCCACATTATCGGCCGGGTTTCCCCGCGGATACAATTTCCCCAACACAATTTTCTTTTCAGTCGCCCGAGCGAATCTAGCTCGGCCTCGGGTGGGTGGCAAATGGCGAAATGGGGAGGGCGAGAAAGAGAAAGAGTTAGCTTTGACGGAGGAACGAGCGGGTGGCTGAGGGCGGCGGGGGTTGGGGGCAGAGCAGAGCGCAGCCCATATTCGTGCATTGTGGCACGTTCCATCGCGTTCTCAACTGAACTGAACTCGACTCAACAGTGGAGGACACAATGGGCGGTATGAATAAGTATAACAGACAGACACCGGTACAGACAGACACAGGTAGCTCAGGCCGCAGTATGTGAATGAGGAACCCATTTGATAACACGCCTCCACAGCCACCCAGGTCCATTGTGTCGCTTCCTATTCAGCTGCTCTATGCCCTCTTCTCCTCCTATCCCCTCCACGCCTTCCTTCTACACCCCCTCGGCTCCCACTAGCGTTTCTCCTGCTACTTCCTCACCCCTTCGCCCGCTATCTTTCTCTCCCCTCCGGCGCCCTTCTGTCCTAGCAGGCTCGCGCCGATATCGCCGTAGAAATCTTATCCTGTCACCTACGGGCTGCACCTGTACGCGCGAAAAACCGCCGTCCGAGCGAGCCCCTCTCCCCCTTGTTGCCGAGTTTCGGTGTCCCTTTGACTCCCCGGGCGCGCATCCGCCGTCCGGAACCCGAAGAGTTTGCACGGCGAACGGGTTGACTCGGTTGAATCTTCTTGATAGACCCAGCTTCCGGCGAGGAAACGCGGAAAGCTGGCAAGATGAAAGGACCTTCTTCCTCGCGGGTATCCGGCTCCCGTCGAAAAACGGGGCAACGTGGATACCGTCGGTTGAATGCAATTTTTATCTGTTCCCCTGGTTAGTCGCGTTATTACTTTCGCGAGCTTTACGGCCTTGTTACGCGGAGATTGGCCTCGCGATAGGTCCTTTGGCGGATAGCAAGGCGGTCCGCTAAGAATTTTCATCACTTTTTACAGTCGCGATCCACGGCGCAGCCTTCCGGGCGGGTTGACGATTCTTTTGACGTTCGAGTGGGAGGTTCGCGCTCTCCGCGGCGTCCTGCACGCTCGGCCGGGATGCGTCTGGCGCGAAAGGACTTCGGTCGATCGAAAAACCGTCGGTACACGGCGGAAACGGGAATGGCGCGCGGGTGGCAAGTCGCGGGGAATATTTATCCAAATTGAATATTCACGCGCGACGCGGGCAGAGATTTCGCCGGTGAAAGCGAGCTTCCCGGGACGCGTCGCCGGTACGAATCGATTTTCCAGTCAATACCGATTCGGTCCAGTCCGACCTGGCCCGCCGTTCGAATCGGCCCGTCAACAATGCTCCGATTTTCGGGATCTCGGTAGCATAAATAGCAAATAGCGAAGGTCCTGTAGGTGTGCGGTGTTCCCGTGGACCAGCGAAACGCGAGCCATCCGCAGGTCTCTCTCTCTCTCTCTCTTGTTCTCTCTCCCTTTCTCCCTCTCTCTCTCTTGTTCTCTCCGAGCTAGCTCGGTACGTACGTGTACGTTGTACACCGAGTACCGACAACAATGAGGCAGAGACAAAGGCCAGGTACAATGCTGATGTTGAACTCGACTGATTTCGACGATTTTTGGCCTTTGCATGTGCATCGCGCGTTACTCGACAATGATTCCCGCATACGTAATCATCGGTATGGGCAGGGAAGGCTGGTACACTCGCGGAACAGTGGCTCTCACGCGCGCCCTCTTTTTCCCTCCGTCCATCGCATCGTTCGGATCCGCGCGCGGGTACACACAGCCTCGTATCCAGCGTCCCGTCCCGTCCCGTCCCGTCCCGTTTCGTTCCCGACCCGTCCCGTCTCTCTCTCCGCAGCCGCCCTGCCCCCCGCGCCACGTCCGTGTCCATCCGGGGGGCTTTTCAATGCTTCTCTAACGCACAATGACGCCACGCCATCGCGATTCCGCGAGCCGTTTATCGGTTTAAATACCAGCACAGGCCGGATAATAATAATTGTAAGCGATAGTCGATTTATGCCCGCAAACCAGCCGTGCTCCTAGCCACCCCCGGCTCTACAATGTATCTAATCAATGGCAGTTAATGTCAAAGCGACGCGGCTATTTAAATGTGAAACTGATAATTACGCGGACCCGGCCGGCTTAATATTCTCCGACGGTTCCGCGGGATTCTCGTTTGCGCCGCTCTTCTACCGCGGCCTCGACTAAGAACTCTGATTATCCTCGATTGCGTCCGCTGGTCTCTTCGCAGTTATTCCTGGATCGCTTGAACAATCGTAGATTCTATAATTTCAAGGAATCAACTCTGCTATGAGCCAATTCTCACTCTAAGCTAGGAAGTTGGATACAAGTTTGGGAAATCTCATGGAAATTCTCTACTTCCTTAGGACCAAGTTTCCACTGGTCTAAGTCACCCTGTCCGCAGATTTCTTGAAACTTCCATTTCCTAATTATCCAAAGTCTGCACCCTTTTTCTAATCATCCAACGAACAATCGCTCATCGTCGAGAAAGGTCGCGATCGTCGAAACGACTTCGTCTCATCCAACGAGCGTGGTGTTGGTCCTCGGCGAACAGCTTAGCTGCTTTCTTTCCCCGATGGTTTTTCGAGGATCGCGAACGAGGGGGGCCGATCGATTGAGCACCCCTGACCGCACCTGAATAGATACATTGTGCCGGGGCAGCCTATTGACGGCCGATTGTTCCCTCAACAATAACAACAATATCTGAATAGTCGTCGTGCACATCTCTCGCGCGTTGCACGCACCCACGCACGCACGCACGCAATACACAGCACGCCCGCCCGCGTGCGTACATCCCGCGACGCATGCTCTCTTCTTTCTCTCCGCGCGTCTCTCCGCCCCTCTCTTCGGCCCCTGCACCCTTCACACGTTTGTCTCTTTGCGCGATCGCACGTACACACTTGCGGGGTGAACGGGGGATCTTGTTCACCCCATGGAAACGCGGCTGAACATTGGGTCAATGAAAGATGGAGCTCAACGTATGCGTTAATTATGCGAGAATTGCGTCTCTTATCGTTGCCGAGTATCGTCGTCGATCGTGCACAAAGTGGCATACGTTCCCCCTTTAACCCCGTCGAAAATTCTGCGTTAACCGGAAGAATTATTTTTGCAACGTTGCGCAACGCCGCCCGCTGGGAACGGTTTTACACGGCAGTTAACGGGGAAGAAGGGATACTGGGAATCGTTAATATCGAGTTTCCAGCGTTGAATCTTAATGATTCATCGATCGTGTCGCGGTGATGAATGAAAATCCTATGCTTAATGGGCATCAGTGAAATAATTGAGCGTAACGCGGCGGCGCCCGTTGTAAAATATTGTTTATTACCCGCTTATAAACAATGGTCAGTAAAGACTCTAGCGAAATGGCTTCGGTACAATTATTACAATACTCCGCGAACGCGCGTTACATTTATCGTGAAAATGTATAAGCCAATTATAATTATAGCGCACTGGTCGATTCCTCGTAATATTATAATAGGTCGGGCCGCGTCGTTGCGCACAAAGCGGCGTGTTTAATGGTACGCCACATAATAATTCGATTTCGCGGAAAAAGAAGGGGAGCAATAACGGAGAAAACAGATTAAAGAGAAAAGTTTCGCGGCCGGATATTACGAAATTTCACGTCGATCAATTGGTCAGCGCCAACGATACTCGATGAAAACGGAACGCGGATACTTCGCCGAGCAATTCTTTCGTCTTTCCGGTGTCCTCCTGAAATCTCGTTGATCTTCCGACGTCAAACATCACGGTGAAGATCGCTGGAGACGCACCGAATCGTTTTATAATATAAGTAGAAACCTTCTGCAACGTATAGACAGCACGAGAATGGTCATTACGTTTTGTGAAATCACTATCCCATAACAATAATTTTCTAATCGCTCGACGAGCACGTTTCTCGATCGCGGATCCACGACCGAACGCATCGCTCGAGCCGATCGCTCGAGCCGATCGCCTGGTATGCACGAATTGCATAGCAAAGGAATTTGCGCTCCTCGACGGTTCCGCGTTTTAAAAACAAAAAATGAAAGTAACGGTCGTATCAAAAATGAACAAAAAAAAAATCA